ATGAAATTCTCCCAATCTTTTGATATAAGCACTATTTTTTTTCTTTTTCTCTATTTCTTTTTTTTTAATTCACTCATTTATAAATTCTAAACCTGTCTTGAGTTACTCCATGCCATTCAAAGATGAATGCAGTAGGATCCCTGCACTCCAGAAGCACATTGCCTGGTGAATAGGCAGGTACATGAGCTAGTAATTCTAGACCAATGTAGTGAGGGTTACAGTTGATGTAGTTGAGTTATTGGCCATATAGTTTCCTCAGTTGTTCCTAACATCACTTTCAGCTCTGCCCTTCTTCACAATTCTGGAGTAGGCAACCAAAATCAATGCCTATCCCTTCTGTGTGAATGCTGCCATGTTTATGTAGCATTTCAGCTGCTTGCTTCCTCCTTCTTCCATCTTGAACATCACTGCCAAATACATCTTTCCCAACCACCCTGATAATCGTGTCTTCCATTTGCACACAGGATCTAGAATATTCAGTGACTTACCATTTCTTTAAGGGGGGGGGGGGACTGAGCTTCATGCTTTCAAGAACTTCTACAATCTTATTAAGATTTTCTCTTCCCACTCCCCAGTGTGAGCCTACTCTTCTAGCACAATAATGTACTTACTGCCAAGCAAGCACTTTGCTCATTTATACCCCCTTACAGTAATTCATGCCAAAATGCCAATCGTGCCCATGTTGAGAAACTGAGCTGAGCTGTAAGCTCTCAGGGCAAGAACTATGTCATGTTCATTATTTTATCCATCTCACTAAATCAGGTAGTCCTTTGACTACAGAGTGTGTGCAAAGAACTTTTACTGAGTTGAGACCCAAATATTGTCTATTGAAATGATGAACAGGGACTGTACCTCCTCAACAAGATAATGCATATGTGCTGTATTTCTTAAGTCCATTGCTTATCAGTACCTTGTTCTCTTTACATGGGAAAATGCCTCAAAGTAAACAGTAATAACAACAACAACAAAAGGATTTCTGGTCTATTTAAGATTTATCACTGAAAGAGGGATTGATTCTCCTTTGACAGTCTCTCTTTGCTCTGTAGCAACATGACCTGGTATAAGGGTGAAATCAAAACTCATGATTAAAGTAGCTTTAGTGATTTTAAAAATCTCTCAAGGAAAGATGAACATTCTTGGAAAAGTTGAAGCTCAGATATTTTCCTGAGCATGACACATTCATAAGGCAAATTCCAGAACTCCAGGGTAAAAAGGAGCCTCTTTCATAATCACCACAGATAAGAGAGGGTTGGTTTTTGCAGCTGATATTTAATTAACTCAGTTCTTCTAGGGGATAAAAAGTCCTCATAGAAGTTAGTCATCTACTTCACAAATTTCTTGTGTCTTCAAAAATTGTTCACTACTGGGACTTTTTACCAAAACACTATAAGTAGTAAAATCGAGCAACATGTAGCTCAGTCTAGGAAGAAACAAGTGTGATATAAACTGGCTCTTACCCAAAATATTTTTTTTACATTAACTTAATTTTATAAGAAACTAAATGTTTTGTGTTTGCCTCACGTGTTTTGAGTTTATTTGAAATTTATTTTCAATAATCATACACCAGAGAGAATTCATTCATTCACTCAGCAGTCAGTAAATGCTTTTTAAGAGTTCTGTGAATCCTGAACACAAAACTTGAATGAGTTTGCACTAATATGATGCAAACCATAGATTTTATCATTAGGCAGATCTGCATTTTAGTGTTAATAACTACACTTCCTACCAGTGTAAGCTTGGCAAAGTTATTTAACCCCTCTGGCCTTCGGTTTTTTCATCCATACAATAAGTTCAAAATAATCCCCACCTTTAGGATTGCTATGAAAATTAAGATAATATATTTAAAGTACCTAACACAGAAGAGGCCATCAAAAATGTCAGGTGTCATTTTTATTACTGCACTGACCGTTATAATTCAAGATATTTACAATTATTTGTTTTTACATTTTTCTTATTACAAGTATCTTCATAAGAAGAATTATAAAAACAGTTAAGTAACATTCATATTAGCTCACTGTATTAAATCTAATCAATCATTCCTCTTTCAATAATCTGAAGGTTTTAGGTAGTTTCCAGTGTGGGAGAAGAGGGAGAAATTTATAAATCCTCTCTGAATTTTCTTAAAGTTTTTTCAGGAAATATGAGTGTATGAAAAAAATTAGGAAAAAAGACTATAGTTTGACCTAGGACATGAAGTAATATACATTAAAATGACTGTGTAATGCATAAATCAGAAGCAAAATCAGCCTAATAGCATCTTTAGAAAAGCAACACCGGAATAATGAACTAGATTCTAATAAACGAGAGGGTAATGTCAAAGCATCAAACTCTAATTAGGAGAAGCAAGTGTAATATGAATTTTTAGAGATTATAGGCGGGTCTGGGGCTGTTTTAATTCTTAGAAAGCCTTTTGTTTTTACCTGTGAGCCAGTGCACCTTTACTACCTGGAATTAAAGGTAATCTGTGGGTTTTGAGATGCCTTCTTTTTCCTATTGTCTACATTGTCATTGAGAAGATATTAACGCTTAAGAGAAAGAGAAACTGTTTTGTTAGCTTGCAACAAAGTAGGTCAGCTCGGAGAGGGCAGAGAGCAGCCTAAAGAAGAGGGCACAGTGTCCTTCTGAAGGAAGTAAAGATGCTAAAGCTGACCTTCCTGCCAGTTGTTCATTATTTGTGTGCCTCTGTGGAAAAAAAAATGTCACAACCGCTAAATGGGAGACTGTCAAGAAAGGCAGTTTCCCGTCAGAGCTAAGATCAGAGGGTTTCCATTCTTGGTGTCGATTCAGGGCAGCTATCATGAGATATTAGGTGGGATTTCAGGGGACAAGTGTGGCAAATGTCACCAGCCTGTTGCTGACTGAGTGCCGGCCAAAAGGAAGCTTTAGATTGTGGACTCTCGATAAACACTGCCAAGCCCTGACTTTTATCTTATGTTACCGGAAACCTGACAATTTATTTTTGTCCCCTTTCAACACTACAAGTGTTTTTCTTGCTGCCAAAATACATGCATCTCTTATTTACTATTGTCACCTATTAATTCACATAAGTAAGTTCCCTTACCTATGACTGGAATGTGGCCCTATTCCACATCCTCATCAACAGAGCCCTGCTATTGAAAAGAAAAACACTCTAGGGGGACCTGGGTGGCTCAGTCAGTTAAGTATCTGACTCTTGGTTTCTGCTCAGGTCATGGTCTCCTGGGTTGTGAGATCCAGCCCCACATCAGGCTCTGTGGTCAGCGGGAGTCTGCTTGAGATTCTTTCCCTCTGCCCCTCCCCCACTTGTACCTGCACACTCGTGCTTTCTCTCTCTCCCTCTCCCCCCACCCCCACTCTCTCAAGTAAATAAATAAATCTTAAAAAAGAAAAGAAAAGAAAAACACTCCTAGCTCTCATAATCATTTTGTACCCTGTGGAGGATTTGTGTCTTCTGTTACTACTTTGTGTTTTACCAAAATATCACATTGTTTTGCATAGGGATAGACCATTTACAAGATTTTACTTGCTATACTTGCATGCTATATTCCAATGGAGATTTATTTTATGTCATTCAGCCTGGTCCACACATAGGGTATGAATCAAACAGAGGCAAAATTACCCTTGGAAAATTCCTTAAATTGACTGGATAATAGAGTAGACATGATTTTGCATATAATATCAAAAGTTTGCAATCCATACACTGGATTCCAAAGGAGGGAAAGTCCAAAGTAAGGGTAGTGTAGAAAGAGGAAAACTTGAATGCAGGCAGATGGCCGGATGTTTAAACCATTCTGCTTGTAAGTTAGCAATGTCATCCCTCTACAGAATGCCTAATGCTCGATGGGTGGGGAATTTCAATGTACTCCTGCTTCACTTTGCCAAGGGGGGAGTATCACTCCATTCTGTTTTAATATGAATCCTCTGTGATGTTAACAGATGTCATCTGACCTCTTTGTCTTTGCGAGGAGGAAGCATCATGGTGGGGACTCTTCTTTGGGGGGTAAGGGGATGAGGGGTGAGTATCTACAGAACTAGGGTTCCCGTCCAGTATGAAAACAGCCAATCGGAAAGTGCTGGAAAGAGAGACTGGCAGACATTTTGAGAATTTGGGATGGCAGAAATAATTCTTCACTCATGAAGGCATCAGGGAAGATGTGGAGCTTCTTGATTTGTGTGGAGTGCATCCAGTCACTATTTTATAAAATCTTATTATCAAAACAAAAATAAAATGGAAAAGTGTAGCCACTTTTTTGTGAACTCCCATGCACTCAAAATACTATAAAAGTGTACACCTTTTCTTTGGTAAGAACAAAAACAAGTCTGTGCTATAAATAGATCCACTAAATTCGTTGCCAGCTTCGTGTTCTGGTCATCTTTGCTATTACCCTGAAAAGTAAAGCTTTTTTATCAGAGGCTTAACTTTCTAAAGTTTCAGCCACATCACATCAAACATCAAAAGGAAACCCAGCTCACATCAAATATAACTTTGATTGTAAACAAATACTTTTATTAATTATTACTCTTAGTTTTTATTTTGCAGGTTTTCTTTCATGCTTTCATTTTGTTTTTTCTCAAAGGCATTAGGCTGGGGGATAAACCCTAACGCTGGGTGGATAAACTGGGCTTTCTGAAGGAATAGCTCTGTCATTCTGAAGAGCAGTTAATACTTTTGTCCCCTTCCCTGCAAATAAATAGTACAGGTCCTTGGTTTGTGAAAACTAACATAAAATTTCCTCCAAAAAGTATGTCTCCCCAATCCATATGTTTTCATCTTTTATTGTCTGAGGAGATTTTTGACAAAATGTTGCTTGATCAAACCAGGCAGCATAAAATTATATTTGTGATGTAAGACTGATACATGAAAATATTACTCTTCTTCAGAGAGAATTCTTAGCTAGTCATAGAAGCTTAAAGAGAAACTACTGTACTTCAAAGAGAATTGACACTTCCAGAGGGTCACAGCACCCATGCCCAAGTTGTTTGGATGAATGCAAACACCCTTGTTTCTTGTTTTTGTGCAGCTTCCATAGTGATTGGGAAATGGTGGTGTGAGATGGAGCCTTGTCTAGAGGGAGAAGAATGTAAGACGCTACCTGATAATTCCGGATGGATGTGCGCTACAGGCAATAAAATTAAGACTACAAGAGTAAGTTTATTTCTTTCAAATGTCTCATGCATGTTACCAACCATACTGTTTACCTTTGTGTTCTATAATCAGCCCCCAGAGAAGGTTTGAACAGGAGACAAGAAAGCCTTTTCCCTGACAGAAAACATTCTTAACCATTCATATCGGTTAATCTCAAGTTAGAGATTGTACTTGATTTTTCCATAGTGAGCAGTTCAGTATTTCTGTGACTGGCTCATAAATAAGGCTGGGTTGCCATAGCCAAAGGAAGAGGAACAGTAATTATTCAAATAATTCAGCCAACAACTATAGTGCTCAAAAGAGCTTATAAAATAAGGGTCTTGCCTAATTCATCCAGATGGTTTGCTAAAAAGCACTGCATTTAAGTACAGCCATTTTCTATAGGTCTTTCAAAGAATTATTTGATGGTCTTTTAAGGAAGTGAAAGGTTTTTGTGATGTGAATTTTCATTCCTTGGTTTCTGTGGTAAAATAAGGAGTTATCTTCAAAATATATAACAACCTGCATAGTGAGGCCATCCAACTCATCAGAATTGGTGTTGTGATGGCAGATAGGAAAGGCCCCACTAGGCCAGCCATTGACCCTATAATACTAGATCATAGGAAAGTGTGGGAGTCCTAAAGGGGGGAAGATCGGGGGAGGGGGTGGCACTCAGAGCACTTAAGAAAGTATTTATTCAAATGTACTACAGAACTATGTTAATATTTTTACAACCAGTAGGGTTACACATATCTATATCATGTGACCGTGAGCCCTGTTACATGTGTATGTATTTTAATGCATTGGGTATTGTTGAAAGCAAGCTCTACTAGTTAAAAATTCCAACATGTTGGACTTGTAGCCTTCCAAAAGGGTGACTCCAATTTAAAACGACATCTGTGACTCCCACCCCTGTATAATGAGTTTTAAGTTGATCTTTCTTCTCAGTGTTATCTTTTCAAGAAATAAAACTGATACTTGCACCCTTGGGATGCAGAAAACATAATACCTTATAAAACATATTTTATATATAAAATAAGTAGAGACTCTTTGCATATCAAATTTAGTTGCCCGTATTGACTACAATAAGCAGTAAATGGCTATGCCTCCTTGGCTCGTGGCCAGGAGAGGTTCCTGAACATCTTAGCTTGTTAACATGTATTTTCATGCACCTGAGATGCTCAGCATGGATTATCATATTTCAATGTAAAGAAACACCCTCAGGAGAGATTATTCGAAAATGAATCCAGTTCATGACATTTACCTCCAGAAACCATCTTCATTAACTGATGGAGAGTGGATTTCAGGTTTCCCTTTGGTTACATTTTGCCTGAAACTAATACGACCAAACAGTCTGAAGATGTCCTCACAAGTTGGTTTTCTGCTACTCTGAATCACGGCCGGTATGATTGGAATTTGATCACCATTATTTCAAGCAGGTTGCTAATATATTTTATTCTGCCAAATCTCCATTTCCTCTTTCAAATGATAACTGATCTCCCTTTATTGAACATAAGCCTGCTCTCATGGTTCCTCCAGACCTGAAACTCAGTAAAGAACAATAATACAAGTCAAATTATTTCAGGATTTAAGTATGTGAAATTCCAAGGGTACCAACTAGGAGACTCTTTGGAAGACAGAATATAAATAAACAAAACACAGAAATGTTAATGCTACTTTTTATGACTGTGTAACTTTCCTTGATTTGGCCTCTGTAGAGTGTATTTTAAAACATATTGTAAATATCTCCCAGACATTTTCTGTTCTCCCGGAAGTACAGTGCAGGTCTGATCACAGTAATAGAGTCTGGAGCTCACTGTGTTTGCTACTGTCCTGGGTGGGCTAAATGCAACCAAGACAGTTGAGTGTACAAGAGAAATAAATCGCCCATGCAGTTGGTTTGAAAGCAGAGGATGTACCTGTTCTAATGTGTGTGTCCATTTCAATCAAGGAAACAAGAGATTGCTCTGTAGTCATGTGAGCAACATATCACTCAACTAATAAATCTCCACACTGTCTTTAGAGAAGGTTAAAGGAAACACGAGGAAAAGCTGTACTTTTTTACACCTTGAGAGGACTCAGACACTATTACTTACTTAATTTTCTCCCCCACTTCCTTACAAAGAAATTCACAGTGAAATACATACTTTTAAACACAAAGGCACAATTAAGTCCAGCTGATACGTACAGGCGCTTTCCCTTCTGTATAAATGACGTGCCAACACCAGTCCTTAGATGATATGCTCCAAAATAGGTTTTATATTAATTTTTCTAGTACGCCCTATGTGATTTTCCCTGTCAGAGTATAAATACGCCTACATACTTCAAATATTGCCTCTGGCAGTTTAACTTTTAAAAACAGTTTAATAGACAGATGTACTTTAATTATGAGTCATAGGCTTTCATTGTTCTGTTCTTATCTAAGAAGTAATCTTTAGGATAAAAAAAATCAAGTTCTTAAAGTAAGAAGAAAAATAAAGAAAATCACCTCTGGTTCTTATGTGTAAGACTGATTCAAAGAGAGTGCTCTCAGGAAAAAAAAAAAAAGAAAAGAAAACATAAAAGCAAAAAAGACAGAAGAAACATGCCCAGCTTGTTAATAGCAACTGAGAGTTTCCTTCATACTGTTAATTTTTAAAAGTAACTCCAATATGAAGAAATTTGCAAGATAGAGTCCGAGATGTCATTTTTCCTTTTTTGGTTTTTTTCAAAACCTTATCATCCCAAGCCAAATCCTCAGCAGTCTGTGAAATGTAGATAAACAAAAGATATTCCAAACTGTGATCTAATTCAGACTTTCATGATGCTCATTTTTTTAAGGAGGATGGAGAGTAGAAATTCATTGTTTCATTTATTTTTTTTTGTTTTTTCTTTTTCTTTTTCTTTATTTGTTTTTTTAATTATGTTTCATTTAAAGGACCAGACAGAGCAGAATGGGAACTAGCCAGGGTAACGGGCCACAATCTGAAGGAAAGCCTTGAGAAAATTAGATCTAGGTGATAATATAAACTACAGAAGGAAGGAGAAAAGATAAGTAGAATCAGGTACAGGCTTCCCTTTCAGGAGATTGGGGAGAATAAACCTAAGGAAAAGAGGAAGCTTCCTGAATGTCATTTTACAGAGAGAAAATAGTTACCCTTGAGAAGTTTTCCAAAACCTAGCAAGGGGTACAATAAAGCTGGTGACAGAAACCCACCTGGGGAGAAGTCTGGTACATCTGGGTGAAGTGTCAAGGCTAAATTTTAACCCTATTCCCTCTTAACCATTGCTTCAATTGTTTCATTAAATTGCTTTGTTGTTAGTCTGTGGCAAGACTCACCAATCCTGATAGTGACAAGAGATCTTCTCTAATGGTTTTAGAAACCTATTGGTTTATTTCTTTTCTTTAAACATATATATCAAAAACTTAAGTTTGCAAGTTGATGACGCTATTGGAAAATTGGCTCTGTAGATTCTGGATTTGCCAATCTCCAAAATCAGATGAGCTAATTCCCTATAATAAATATTACATTTAATATATACAAAATAATAAGGTATAATATGGTATATGTATTTTAAAAAAAGAAAGTTGGGGATGCTGTATCCAATGCATTCAGCCCTAAATGTATACTCTGTGTATTCAGGAATGATGCCTTAATTTAGAAAGGTAGACTTCTCCCTGGAGAAAATAAGTTGTTTGACAATGCTGTAAAAATTCACATGTAAAAAGTGAACATTTGTTGTTTGGGGACATAATGAGGAAGGGAATAAAATGAGGAGAAAACTAAAGGTGCTTGGAAGGAAAAATCAGCAGGTTAAAATAGTAGAACATAATCTGGTATAATACCTGGGAACATATCAGGCAACTTCGTTAGTATCTTTCAGACTAATGAGAAAATCAACAGTTAGATTTCCACAAGGTGGAGTCAAGTTGCCTTCCCTAAAAGGGTGAGTTAGCAGACCTCAGACTGCATACCTAAACACAATGGCTATCTTGTCAAATTGATGTTTTACACAAATCCACTACAGTCATTTGTCCACACCTTCCTGGGCCCATCCTCCTAATAGTGACTCAGACCCTGCATATCTCCATCCATTCTCATCAGCCAATGTTTTTTATATTAGAGAAGTGTAAAGTACCAGCTTTGACATATCCAAGCTTTATCATTCAAAATTCACTCAAAATTTCCACCTGGTCTGAAGTGTTATGAAAGCCTTTACAATCCTGATGTCCAGACCATTTTGCATGAACTACCTTTAAGAGAGAAGGGTAGGAATGTGGAGCAGTGCAGGGGGAGGTGGATTTGGAAATGGCAAGAAGGAAAAATAAATCAATTTATGCTGTTAAAATTGCCCCTGGGTTAGAGTGAACTCATTCATTTCTTTAACCAACAAATATATTTAAGCCTCTTCTATCTAAAGTTAGTGTATTAAGGTTTTAGGGATGTGATGGTAGATATGACCCATCTCCTGTTCTTCCATGAAGGGTAGGGCCTAAAGTTGGGGGGTACCATGGGGGTGGGAATGGCAAGTCGATAGAAAGGCAATTCCAATTCAGTTTTGTAAATGTCACTTTCTCCCTCCTTTTGATGAAGAAGAAGACAGTGGAAACAGAAGGTGATAAACACTACTAGAATGTAGGAAACCAAAGTTTGGAAGAATCTGTTATTCATATGGAGAGGATAAAAAAATAAATGTGTGAAGATTTCTCATACATGCTGCCCTGGGCACAACCAACTTTTGAAAGCAAACTTTTATTACTGTTCCCACCCAACCCTGAAACCTTTTCATGGACTCCACGCCTGGACTCAGAACACTCAATTCCTAAGACTATAAAGAACTAAGAGATGATGAAGAAAAATGCCTATGTCCTAGAACTCTAAAGTAGAACCTTCAACTCTCTTAGAATCATCATTTCTGCCCCAAACCAGTGACTCTCTGTGCATGCATCCTTTTGAACATTAGAGTCTTTGGGACCATATTCAAATATATTAAATGGTACCAGTAGTGGTAGAAGTATGCTCTTGGTTGCCCTTGAGTACTATGTCATTGGGAGGAAGAGTTCCTCATCCTGCAAGGGTCTCCTATGTTCCTAAGAAAATGTGTTCTAATCCTGGCAGTGACTTTACCTTATGTCACCCCTTTAACATGTTACAGCAGGTCAACTTGACAAGGCCACGGAATGACCTACTCAGTTCAAATTCTCATCAAACACACCGGACTAACTACATATTCTGAAGGGCCCAGTGCAAGAATGAAAACACAGGCCTCTTGTTCAAAAATTAGTAATAATTTCTTTTTTTTTTTTAAAGATTTTATTTATTTATTTGCGAGAGAGAATGAGAGACAGAGAGCACGAGAGGGAGGAGGGTCAGAGGGAGAAGCAGACTCCCCGCTGAGCAGGGGACCCGATGCGGGACTCGATCCTGGGACTCCAGGATCATGACCTGAGCCAAAGGCAGTCGCTTAACCGACTGAGCCACCCAGGCACCCCTAGTAATAATTTCAAGACTGCAGTAGCAGGTCATTAAATGAAGTGTGGGGCCCTGTTCAGCACAGGACTCTGGGCAACTGTACAGATCATGTGCCCATGAAGCCAGTCATGGTTATTCATTGCTCCAGAGTCTATCTCCTCAGCTGTGGCAAAATAAAAGTAATGAATTGATAAAAAATACGATGGCCTGTCAGTGTGCTTTTTGATCACCATTTGAGAACTACGGCTCTAGATTAACATTTTTGGCTTCAGAGCACTTGAAAGAAGCAACGTACTATAAATTCAAGATGTCCTCATTTTCTGCCTATTCACCTTTCTTTATGCCTTCATTTTGTTCTTTTCTCCCTGAAATTTCTTTCTTTCTTTGGTTTCAGATTCACCCAAGAACCTAACGGAAGCATTTGTTATAGTAGCAAAGGAAAATCACCTCTGCGGAAAATAAATTTTAAGAATTTAAAACATCTTACACATTACAAGCCAAATGGATTTCTTATTTGCACTTTGACTGGTTACCAGATAATCACAGTGCTTTTACTGTGTGTCACAAAGTATCCTATAGTGAGAAGACCCCGCGCTTTTGGCAGCACCATGGAAAGTGGGTTTAAAAAAAACAAAAACAAAAACGGTTTTCTCAAAGAAAATTTTTGGGATTACGAAGAACGATCAACTATCTTCTAATTTGGATCTATAGTTACTTTGTACCATTTTAAATATATGTATATACATAATATTTTGAAATATTATATATTCTCTTCAAGAAATGAACAATGCCACAGGTTGAGACGGCTGGTGTACCTCTTTGAGTTTGGATGTTTTGTTTTGTTTTGTCGCAGTTTCTTTTTTTACTGGCAAGGAAGAAGACATGTGCCCCTTTTGAAATTTCAACATGGCACTCACACTGGAAGGCCAGCTACAGGTGGACTCCTGGAATCTGAGGCATCATAACCATACTGAATTGAGAGCTTCCTTCCGTTTCTACCAGATGACCCAAGGAAGCACATCGTCCTGTTTTATTGCTTTCTACCCGTGCAATATTAGCATGCAAGCCTGGCTTACATAACCATACTTTATATTCAATTGATATATAATAACCATTCTAACCTCTTCCAGGAAAGTATTTTTAGAACTACTAGCTTTTCCACAGATAAGACAATGAGGATTCTTGAGGGAGCTACTCCACCATGCTATTAAGACTCTGGCAAAATTATGGTAGAATATGGATCCCTGTGTTAATAAGTTCTGTAAATACAATGTCTTAAGGCTTGGTATAGCTGTCCTAGACTGAAGAAATATCCTCCGATTAAATCCAAAGCCTGGCATCATTAAGTACATAGTGCTGTAGCCACAAGTCTTATCATGGCACCTCTTTCTATGTTTGATTTGCTTTTTCCAAGAGTATTCAGATCTCTTCTGAATCTGAAGATTCAGGAAGGCCATTAAAGCAATTAGGTTTCAGAATGATCTATGTGACCAAATGCTGGACAGCCCTATTAAAGTGGTAAATAACTTCTTTCTAAACCTACTTGTCCTCTTTATTTGCCATGTATTTGTCCTGAGTCAGCTTTAGCCAAATCCAGAGAACACCCTGCTTAGAGACTTGTAGTCAGCCAGAATTTTTTTCCATGAGGTCTTTGCTGCCAGTATTTCTAATCCCAGTATTTTGAAAATCAGAAATTCATTACTATAACTGCTGTGTTCTTAGCCCACAAAATGAAATGTCAAATCCCATTACAGGGTTTCTGTACTGGCCACTTAGATGAGACATATGGGGCTCACTTCTAAAAAAGAAACTTCTGTCCATCTTCTCTTGTTAAAAGTTACTCAGATGATGATTATAGAAAAGAAATATCTATTATCTACCTGGGATAGCATAATAGTACTATACATTCCAGTTACTTAACCTAGCATATTTCAAGTATATCTGTTTTTTCTCCAAAGCCTTTTCTCTAGAATACATGTTGTTAGGGCCTCTTATTACATCACCAGCACAAGTGGTCCCCTAGTGTGGATTTTTAAAGTTAAACCTCAGGTAAAATCTAGAGGTTCCTTCATGTCTACCAATATAGCTTGAAGTCTGATTGAATATGTAAATACTCTAATCAGATAGATTGATTCTGTATCTCAAATGCCTATAAAAAGCATCCAGAAATGGAAATGGAACCCTAATTGCAAAATCTAGGCTTTCCAAATACTTTCACAAATATTTGCCAGAAGATAGCATAAAATTCATATAACCAAATCAGAATCCCTTGAATTTATGGTCCATATTCATGTACCAAGTAATATATTAGCAATTGACTTTCACCTGTAAACTTCAGAGTAAAACCTGAAATCATGAATGCAAAGAATTATCTGGAATAGTACTTCCCCAAATGGGGAGGAAAAAACTTCCATAATCAAATACATTGGGAAAAAGTTTTTAAATAAAATAAAACAGAAATATTTACCGAGGAAATTTTCAGAGCCTTTAATACACCAGAAGTGATGTATGTCTTCAAGAAAGACTAAAACATGGGTTGCCAAGTCAAGAACTTCCAGAATCCAGACATGTAAGGTGGTTACTTGACAAATGGACAGTACATCCCTGCCTAATGAGAAACTGCAAGAAATTGTGTGAGGACATATTCGCTGCCTTGTCACTTCTTCAGTTTTTTTCAATAGAACCAGAAATCTGGATTTTTATATAAAATCTCCTAACATTCTTAAATAAGATTAACTAATATGAGATGTTTGTCATTAAAAATTCTACAAGCACTATTATTGCCCCCAAATTCCCTGATCATGTGGCTTTTTCTAGGAGATGAATGTTTCCTGGAATACCCTTTTAAAAAAAAGCATTAGTCCTAAATGAAAATCCAATGGGAAGAAAAAAGAATATTCTCTTTTCTATGGACTCATGCATACAAACCCTTCTCACAATTTACAATATGTGGGGCTCACAGTTTCTCCTGTTCTGTAACCAGAGCCTGTAAGTCAATGAAAGAGTCTAGAGGCCCAGGTCTGTCAGTTCATTTCCTAGTGATCACTTCGTGCAATAACCTCCCTTGGAAAGACCTAGAAGAAGAGAGAATGGGGGAAAAGACCACATCAGAATCAGGCAACCATCCAATAAAACAGTGCAAATATTTGTAAATGTCATCAAATTCAATTTGGATTCATCAAGGTCCTTATACAAATGTGTGAACCATCAAGTTGTACTTAAATTGGACCCACCCCAGTTAGGGGGATTCAGTAGCTATCCCGTGCCTACATCTATTGTTTAAAAACTTTTATCATGTATTGCTGGTAATAAAGAGCTTGGTGTGGTATGACTAATAATGATTTTTGAGCTTGTGCCTCAGGTGTGATATAAATAATGTTCTAACATAATTAGAGCAAATGGAAAGGGCTTTATCCAGAACCCATCTCTGGGTAAAAAGGAAAATATGGCTCATTTCATAAGACAGATTTTTTAGTTAGGTAAAGCTTATTTCTTGACTTTTTTGTATGTGTGATTAGATTTATCTCTTAATGGATTTGGCAAGCACACTGAGAAGTTTTACTACTGGGCTTTTTTCCGTTATCGAATGATGAAGAATGTTTTTACCAACACACAATTCAACATCATTTTCTGATCAAATCCAGTGTAACTTTCGCAAAGCAATGGTTTTATATAGGGCAGTGTATTATGCTACCTTGACATTGTCACTGATGTAAGTTATGAAGGGTATAAAAATTGTTTATATGAGGAGATCCACACATTCCTCACCTCCATAGGATACGCACTCCATCCTGGAAGCTTAAATGGCATATCATAATATGAGTTTTTCTTTTAATTAAGCTTGACACTTCCATTTCAAAATCTATTAAGGTTTACCTGAAAAAGAAGTGAACTATTTTCCTTTTCATGAGCTGTCTGCTTTCCAAATAAAAGATTTAGTGTCTAGTAAATTCTAGGGCTCAAGCCACCTCCATCTAGTGGATAAATATAAGAAAACAAGATATAAGACGTACTAAGAAAAGTGAGGGCTCAGGACTAGTGACAGCAGTGGTAGAATCAGATGGCCTAGTGCCCACGGGCATCATGCAAAGTGATAAAGCAGAATCATGTTCACACTTCAAAGTAAATTAAATGGAAAACCATTAATTGCATGTGCACGTACACACACACACACATATCTCCTGTTAAAGATTTAAAATGTTTAGGTTGAATAGGCGGGGGTTTTTTCCTTGTAAAGCTCTTAGGGACGTATCAGGAGATGTGGTGGCATGCTCTCACATCATTGGTCTGCGAGTGGCTCTCATTTATTTATTTATTCATTATTTAGTTTGCTTCACTTTTTCCCAGGTGTTAAGCTCTCATTTATTTGTTTTGGCAGCTAGATGCATTATTTAAAAAAATAATAATTATCAAACATGAAAGCCAGGACCCCAGCCATAAGTGACTGTGTTTATAGACCAGGCAGTGTATATGCAGCCCTAATTCCCACCTGTTCAGAGAGTAGACTCACATGCACGTGCCGAGGAAAATCTGGGACCAGACTTGCCTTAAGATAGTGGCTGTCGGGAGCCTGAGTGGCTCAGTCTGTTAAACGTCTGCTTTCAGCTCACGTCTGCCTTCAGCTGAGGTCATGATTCCAGGATCCTAGGATCGAGTCCCATATCGGGCCCCCAGTGGGTAACCTGCTTCTCCCTCTCCCTCCTCCCCTCCCCCCCTGCTCCCCCATTCTTATGTGCTCTCTCTCAAATACATAAATAAAATCTTAAAAAAAAAAAAAAAGACAGTGGTTGTCAACCATTTAGCCACGGTACATGGATCTGTGGCCATACATCATGGAGTGGGCTGGAAGTGACTCCTTACTATTAATCAAGTCTGCAAATACATCTTAAAAGGAATTATAATTGGCTTAAGGGTAGTTCTCAAACAAGGCCCAAGAGACTTACGTGCCTATAGGCACTAGCCAGGTAACACTAGTTAGTTAACCAGGGTCACATGTTAAAGCCTAGGCACACAGTGATGAGGCTGGAGACCTGACACGACAGGGTTCTAGCAGCCAGCATTTGGTCCCAGACTTAGGGAGCCAGGGTGGCCCAGTTCTTCTGTTTTATTTGTTGTTGTTGTTGTTATTCTTGTTGTTGTTTTGGGAAAATCCAGAAACTTAGAGGCTTGTATGAATTCTCCAACCCATTGAATTTTCATTAAAAGAAAAGGACTAATGACTCTGTTCTGTCCATGAAATACCAGTTTACAAGTCTGGCCTAAAATTACATTATTCTCATGGATTTGCATCCTTGTGCCCATCCTCCGGTGGTAGAAAAAGCAATGGAGTTAGAGCTTGTTTGAAGTTCATTGCACTTAACCTGCAGATTGTCTTACTTTTCCACTGAGAATACTGTGGGTGCAGCAACAGACCTCAACTGTCCTCGATTGGGGACACTTGCCACGGTTGCAAAAAGGGGTCAACCACTGGCTAGAATGGAGTTGATTGATTGAAGTTCTGTAAATTCCAACCTGGGGGTCACGAGCTGGTGTGGGAGCAAAATTTAGGGACTGGAAGGGGGCAGTATAAAGTCAGCAGAACCCATCAGTTGGTGCTAATAGATATGAGAAGCTTGTACATTTATTTTAAAGAATGTTACGAACTGGCTGTCCGATCAGAATGACCTCCTCTCTGCTTCCATGTTCCACACATACCCTCCCATACATGCAGATTCTTGATTTCTTTGTCCCCTGATCTGGATCCTCCTCCAGATTTAGAAGCTCTCAAAGTTTCTCACCCCTCCCCTATCCCTGCCATTCACCTCCGCACTGACACATTTCTTCTTCTCTCTTTCACATTGTATCCATTGAAAAGAACCCTAAGACTGTAAGCCAGAAAAGCTTCCCCTGCAAAGATTCAAGTCCTTGTTTTCCACTTATAACCGAGAAAAGCCTGTACCCTCTGAGTTTTCATGTCTATAAAATGGAGATCATGCACAAAGTTTAAAGGTTATGGGAGGATGAGGGAAATAGAGAAAATGGAAATATTTTATAAATGCAAAGCAGCAGGTAAGCTGTGGTTGTTGTGCTCTTCTTCTCAGATTCCTATGATTGTGTGTCACCTAGATGCTCCCTGTGTCAATGCTAGCCCCACTCAAAGCAAAACAAAACAAAACAAAATCAAACTTAGGTAAACTAACAGCCAAAATATGATTTCATATTCTCTTTCTAGAAAGCTCTAGAACTAGACTGATCTTGCTCAACTTTGTAGGATTTGCCATTTGCCATTACCATTGCTAATGTTTTTAAGCCAGTATAACTTACATTCAAGCATTGGTGTTGGCACAAGCAAGTAATGCATGTTGGAGAAGGCACCTTGCTGGTGTCCAGAATGTTCATCCAGAACTTGAAGCACTGATGACCTGATCTATCTGCTGTGTAAGACAATTTTCAGCAACTGCACACAGTGTCATTACCTAGCTACTTTTTTCCCACATCCAGCCTCTTGTCATTCAGGCTATTGTCCTAGCAGATTCTTATGTGACTCTTGTTACGACAGAGGTATGACCTTTCATTGTCCACTCTTATAGCTACCACACTGGTAGATACTGCTTTCATTCATTCATTCACTCGTTCATTCGATTACCAAGTACCTGTTGAGTAGTTACTACATGTCACGCACAGTACTAGATACTGGAGATAATTTCAGATTTTACATTATTCTAGGGGAAACAGACAAAAAACAGTGAATAAGTAATTATAAATCATGATAAATACAAAAAGAGCCACAAAAGTAAATAATGGGAGAGAAACATGAGCTTGTGGAAGGATAAGAGGGGAGTGTCTCTTGGAGGAGGTGGAATTTAGTCTAAGAACTAGAGGGTAGCAGGAAACAGCCATGCAGAGAGCCAAATGGGGAGTGAGGGTGAGCAGGGTGGGTGTTGCAGGTGGACAGATTAGTATAGGCGAAGGCCTTAGCCACGGGGGACTTCTGTGTGTTTGTAAGCCTGAGAGAAAGTCTCTTTTAGTTTGTTGTCAAAGCAGAGTAGTTAGAGCAAAATTTCTCTAATGAGACAATTTCAAATTTGTCTCTAATCCTAGTATCTTCTTTCACCAAATGGTAAAACTAGTATGGCATTCTAGAAAATGTAGCGAAGAACCCTAATCTCTAGTCCTCATTTAGGGAATCATTAACACTCTTGAAGCGGTTCTCAGAAATGACATTCTGTGTAGACAATACCAAATCATCCCAATAGGAGAAAATGGTGGCCTAAAGGACCAGTGTGGAAATTTAAAGGGCATAAGTGAAAGATCTAGGAAAGTCACATAATCAGGAAAGACTGTATAAGAATGACAGAGACCTCTAACAGTATCATTATGAAGGCTAAATGAATTAAAGACTAAAATTGACTTCCAGAAATAGTAAGGTCATCCTAAAAAGCATCTATGTTCAAAGCAAGTAGGACAAATCTGCCTAAAGCCAGGAATGTACAGGTGATAGAGAAGTCAGGTTTTTCCCAAGCAACTGTTTTATTTCTCTTTTCTTTTTCCTATGTTAATGAAAACTATCTCCTGCCTAAAAACATCTGAAAGGAATATTGTTCAGAAAGAAGTAAACTCAGGATAGCCTCTAGCTCTCCTCAGTGGTCCAAATGGTTCAAGCAGTGATCAGGGGAGGGGGATAGCTCTGCTTTGTACAATTTATTGATTCCTTTAGTGTAAATACTCCCACCACAGCTGATTTCAAGCTGCCAATGTGAAGTAGGGAAGAGATGTGCACCATTGACTCCCACAGCCAATGAGAGCTGGCTCCAGCATATTACCACCTCTGTGAAAGAAATCACAAAGCTTCAAATCACCAAACTATCAAAAAATGACCACAGTACTGACAGGGAATTTTGAGGTATCTAAGAGAGGCACCCGAAGTCTAGTATTGGTTAAGTATAGCTACAGTTGTTGAAAAGAAGAAGCGAATTCTTAAAAGTATAGACCAGTGACCCTGAGGCTAGCCCAGGGCAAGATTATGCAGTAGATGATTTAAGGGATTTCTGTGAATAATTAGGCAAGCAGTGATCACCAGGAGCCAACTTGCATTCACCAGGAAAAAAGTCATGCCAGGCACCTTTTTCACTGGCCTGTTTTCTTTAACTAGTCTGAAAGATTTTAAGACATTGATGAACATAGTATGTCCAGACTTCAGCAAGGTATGAGTTCTTGGCCAAGAATTGGCAAACTATGGCCCTAGAGTAAATCTGTCCCACTGTCTGTTTTTGTAAATAAAGTTTTATTGTAACACAGCCACATTTACATATTGGCTGTAGCTGCACTTGAGCTACAACAGCAGTTGAATAGTTGCTGCAGCAGAGATCTTATGGATCAGCAAGTCTAAAATATTTACTACTGGGCCCTTTATAAACTTTGCTGAATCTTAGTCTATTATGGAAAAGGCTGGATGATAGGAAAAATTCACATGGGCTCATAACCACAATGAATAGCCATATTCAAATGTTCCTAATTCATGGAATGATTGTATCCTGGAGAAATATTCCTAGTAGCAGAAAAATGAGTTCTGTCCTGGCTGTGTCCTGTGCCTTGTTTTATTATGAACCACGTGGAAGAGGGTATTGACACAGCATGCAGGCCGATCTTGCAGATGGTCTGCAGTCGAAGTGGTCATTGAGAATGTAGGATGGTTAAATCAAGTTCAAGCAAATAGGCAGGCAGAGGAAAGCAGTTTTGATGGTTAGAAACAGTTGAAGGACATGCTATTTAGATTTGTGAGAAAGAATAAACAGATCAAGAATGACAGGTGTATTTAAATAGTGGAAGTTCTGTCATTTAGAAAAGGGATAAAATTAGTTTCTAAAGAGTGTGTGGAATTTATTTTTTTTAAGATTTTATTTATTTATTTGAGAGAGAGAACCCATGAGTTGGGGGGAAGAGCAGAAGGAGAAGGATAATTGGACTCCCCACTGAGCAGGGCTGATCCCAGGACCTTGAGATCATGACCTGAGCCAAAGTCAGATGCTTAACCGACTGAGCCACCCAGGTGTCCCAGAGTGTGTGGATATATAACTAAATATATTTCAGTTAAAATAAGAACAATTTACCCAACAGGTTTTTCACAGTAAGTAGTGATTTGCTTGTTGTGAAGGGTGTTCAAACAGACGAGAACTCTTGGGAGTTCTGTAGGAGGATTCATGCCTAAACAATCTTATACTTCTCAGAATTTGTGACAATCTGAGTCTGCTTTCTTATCAGTAGAGTAAAAATGGAATTGGAGATCATTGGTAATATCAGATTCTTATGATGCAAGAAATTCTTACGTTCTCAAGAACAACTCACACGGCCTATATCCAGATTGCTTGGTTTGGATGTACAGATGTCCCTTAACTGCCCCCGAGGTATTGCTCACCAGCAAAAACAGATCCTCCTTCCCAGTTTCATAGGCATCATTTTCTTCAAAGCAATCGGTTAGCAAGCAAGTCTGTTCCATCGCTAACCAGCCGGTTACAGCAATGATGAGGTGATGATGGAAATGACTTGGAGACGGAGGAATTTTCTAAGAAACCAGCAGCCCTTTGTTAGGGAGATGGGCCAAAAGTTCAGTCAGGTATAACCTCAACTGCAAGGATGAACCAGGCAGAAGTTTGATAGTGGGGAAGCAGACCAAAAACAAATCCGCCAAAACCCAAAATGGTTAAAGGCAGGAATTGGTGCGAAGATGTAAAACTGAACAAGTCACTCAATATTTTAGCCAGGGGTGTCTCCACTACCTTTACAATGGTTTGGCAGATTATAGTTATCATCTCATTATATACCATAATTTCAGAGGCAATAACACATATGAGTAGTGGGATATTCAATACATGAAAATTTATCTGGACAAAAGTCTCTCAACTCTATTTCACTTTCCCATTCTAACATGCTGCTTATGATCTCAGCGCTCTTTCCAGGAATGTCTAAATAAAAGACCATCAGATATTCCTTTGCTCTGGGAGGAAGTGTTTTTTTGGAAGAAAATTGCTAAATGGGAAAGGTCAGTGCTAACTCAGAGGTGCCACATCCATTGTTAATTAAGTTTTCATTGTGGCACATTTACCCAGGGTCCAACAACCCCAAATACCCCAAAGTGCTGAATAATACGGCATGCATGCAAATGCCATCAAAGAATTGTGGGGCTTATGCCTGAGGGACATCACCCTACAAAATAATCTCTTTATAATTTTGCCCTAATACAATGACTGTCAACCCTGCAAGATCCAATGCCCCCTTCAGACATCATCTAAGCCTCCTGAAATGAAATTCATGAATAATATAACTTC